CCCCAAAACCCCAAAACCCCAAAACCCCAAAACCCCAAAACCCCTTATTTTTCATTAATATTGAAAAGTAGCTATTTTAGTCACTTTTGATTGTCTTTCGGCGATTTTTAGAAGGTTTTTGGAGGTATTGGTTAGTGTAGGCTGCGAGAAGTTCGAAGAAAACGTAGTTGTCTTTTTTAGAGAGGTCTTTGTAGTGTAGTTTGATGTCTTTCTCCTGGGAATGGGGTTGTTTTGGGTTTTTGTTGAGCTTGGTTTTGATCAGTTTGAGTGGAGTTTTGGAGGGCTTTTCTGTAAGAAGGGATTGATAAAAAATCAGAGGTAAATTTTGGGTTTTGAAAAGAGAGAATGAGGAGAAAGGAAAGGAAATAATGAAAAATAATTATAATTTACCATTATCCCTAATCTTTATCCCTGTTTCTAGTCATTTTTTTGATTGTACTTTATTTTTCTCAAGATTGTTATTTGGTCTAGAATAAAATAAGCTCGAATCCTCGTCTGAACACCATCCATTGGCGTCCGAATATTTATCCTTTCCTTTTCATTTCTGATGTCCAATTTTTACATAACCCTTTTTGTTTTTCAACTGAGCATAATACTCCTCCATTGCTAGTTTCTTCCTTACAGCTTTTGATTTAGTTTTCCCTAATTTTCACAGAAATTTATTTGGCATTGTTCTCACGGTTTGTGTTCTTTACTTTCCTATGTCTTTCAGGAGAAATCACAGATGAGTCATAATATGAAGAATCTTCTTGTCTCCCATTATAAGTTACTACTATCTCATCTCTGGCATCAATAACACAGTTATTTCTGGTGGTAAAAGCCAAACTATAGCTCCTCTCATCTCCACTAGCGATGGCATTCTTGCCAAGTCTTTTTCTGGTTTGTTTCGGTTGGTCAAGGCTAATCTCCTCACTTATCATAACAATAGTATCCTCTGAGAGATCGCTTGTGCTGGAAAGATCTCTCTCGCGTTTCCATTTTAAAATCTGGTTGAATCAGTACATCAAAATCTACAGAAAATACTCAAATCTCCCAGTGAAATCATGACTTACACTAGATCCAATGACTAGAAGGGCCTTGTGCTTCGTTGGTATTGCGTCCATAATTTATATTTGCAATAAATTCAGAAGGAAGAGGGGTTTTGGGGTTTTGGGGTTTTGGGGTTTTGGGG